ATATAATTCGAAAAAAATGCTCGTGAAATCTTTGTTAAAGAATATTCGTGACTGAATAATACTTATGTATAATATATTTTTATTTTTAGAATAGTAAAGAACATTAGGCGTCCCGATGATTGGCCAATTRATACAGTTGTACATCTAATAATTATACACTATAGTTTATATTTGATATAATGTATAAATTATAATAAGAATAAGGACATATATAGGTAGACATAACATAAGTATGCTTATATAACAATTAACAATATAATACACTTTAGAGTATTTTTTAGGTATTGGAACACTGCAAGTATAGGTTTTATACATGTATATATGCATGTATTACGTATATACGTATATATTTTATTGATACTACATTTATCAATATAAATTATTATACAATTTTTGGTACAAGTGTTTAGAGATTAAAAATGAATTATAACAGTAATCGTAACATATTTTATATTTTATAAAGCATGTTAATATTCTATACAGATTTATAATATCAATTAAATATTATTGTTTATTATAATATTACCAGTAGTATGCTTTCCCAAGGAAGCCATCGAATCGGTGCCGGAGGTCTGTTTCCGATTTCGCTATAGTCTTTTTTGTAAGCCGGATTGCATACAGCCACGTCGGCTACTTTGATTGAATAGCCTCTTGAAACCAGGCAGTTTCTATTTTCCAGGTGAAAAAAAACAATATACATWAAACGAATTGCAGTCACAAGTTCATAAATAAATATCAATATCATGTATGATTTTTAAGCATGATAACAATATTTTAGAAGGTTTGGAAAAAATGACTTCAGTTTACCTTGCCGCCAAATCTTTGTGCACCACGTTCTTAGATTCCAGATACTTCATGGCCGATGTGATTTGAGTAGCCATGAACATTAGCGTCGTATACCTATAGCAATAAGCTCATTTCAGAAYGTGATAATTAAATTTTTTATCTAAAACTGTTGCCAAGAATCCAATTGTTTATACTAGTTACTGCAGTTTTAAACTATTCAATGGTAACGAATTTGAGTTACAATAATCGATGATATATTTCGGTGAAAAAATGTGTTTTAATACGATACCTATTTCAATATTTGGTTTCTAGTCTATAGAACTCATCGAAAATGCCAAAGTCTAAATATATTTTCAACATGTTCTTTAATAATTACGATAATGTTGAGMATCCGGTAAATTTATCACTAAATTCATTAGACTCATTAGACTCTTTAGAGAATATACCAATGTCATCTGATTCTATTATAATTACATGTGAGTACCAAATACGAGTTATTTTGGGCACATCTATTTTAATGTTATAAGTGCAACATTTTAGGAATACATATCATGACTATTATCTAATTTTAAAAAGGTAAACAATTTTTGAAAACTAAATTACAGTAAGTTAAAAATAAAATAATAATAATTTTGTGATACTAATAATAT